CCCCCCCCCCCCCCCCCCATAACCACCCACGTTCAGGGCTCGACCCCACAGAGAGTCGGCGGCGTTGGCGTTGTCGGTGGCTGTGGCGGCGGGGGCCGTTTATTGATTTCGGGACTTGGCGTCGTGTGTACCACGTATAACGCGTGTTTTTGGACCGTTGTAGTCCAAAGTACCGATGCGAGAACGACGACGTAACCCTTTTTCTGCAGTCTGGAGTTGGCCAGCTATCCGTTTCCCCCACCCCTCGACGTGTATACGCGGTCTAACCTTTTTCCGCAACCCTTGCGGCCGCCGGGCGGCAGCAGCTGAGCCGCCTTTGTTCGGTCGACCGTGTGTATACGCACGCACCCGAAATACCGGCCAGAGCGACGTTACCGGACGAAACACTCGTCGTGCTGCTGCAGTGTACATATTATTATTATTATTTTTTTTATAATCATCAACATCATCATCATGATGACGATGATGATCATCGTCATCCATTACTATTGTACTATTCGAGTCGGTAAAAGTTTATGTTTTTAATTTATTTACTTCCCCGAGACTAGAGAACGGATTTCGATTATTTTTTTTTTTATTATTATTATTATTTTGTACGTATTATACATAAAAGGCCGCCGACTAACAATGTCGAACCGAATTCTTCGGGCACTGATTAATTCCAAATCCACCCTCCGCCAACCATGCAGCCCCCCACCTCCCCCCACCACCACACCCCGTCTCTAATGTCGTCGTCGTCGTCGTCGTCATACTGCGGGGTCGTCCGTGGCGGGGCGATATTATTGAATTTTTCATTAAGCGCCCTCATCAGAGCTGTGTTATTGTGACCGAAGATAATCAAGGCGTGTAGTTTTTTTTTCTTTATTATTATTATTTTTTTTTTTTGTTATCGTCCCGGCCCAGAATAATTCCATACACAATTAAACGGAGTTCTTTCGGCCGGAGGGGTTCCGGAGCGGAAAATCGATGTGCCTCGATCGGGCTGCTGTGGCGTGGGGTGAGGGGGGTGAAAGAGATCGCCGCCGCCGCTTATGCTCTCGTCGGTATATTATAGCAGCGTGTACAGAGTTGTGTATTATATAATATCATAATATATAGTGCGGAGTATAGTCATCGCCATAGCTGTATATATATGTATACAGCTCTGTTCGGCGCTCGCGTAGGGAAATATTCCGAACTTGTTGCCAACAGCTGCCACGACTGTCGTCGAGCACAGAAGGGATAATATAATATAATAACGCGCGCGACCGGGCGGACGGGAACGCATTCGGGCGAAGGCAGAATATCCATAAATTCGCCGAGCGAAAACAAAAACGCTCGACGTTCTGTCGTCGTCGTCTCGTGGACACCGCGAACTTATCCAAAGCACGTGATATATACGTTTAAGTAAACCAACAATATGGTATTAGACAATATCAGTAGACAGAGTGGTTCCGAAGGGAGTGACGGACGCGTGGACGAAGAAATTCAAAGATTGTATATTCATCTATTGCGAAGATTTTTCTCGAAAAAGTTATCTTAATAAGTCAGCTCCATCACTCGTACCTTTTTGGCCGATCGCAAGCGTTGGATAGCACATTTATAAACGTCGTCGTCGTCCTCGTCGTCGGTGTGGCCCAGGAACAACTTTTCTCGTGGCAATGGTTTTTTTTTGGGGGGGGGGGGGGAAACAATATTATAGAGAGTCTTGATTATCGCCACCCCTTCTTTTTCAGACGTCACTGAAGCTCGTCGTCCCAAATATTGTTGATTGACGAAATCGAATTTTGTAAGTACCTATATAATATTATGGTTATTAGTAGGTACAATTATCACTAATTAATATTTATGATTATCGATAGGCCGGGTATAAATATAATAATTAATATACCTAATTTAACACAAACGTTCAACGAACTATATCAACCGACATCTGATGTTTCTATAAATGTGTTCAAAACTCAAACATTTTTTTTTTGTTTTCATATTAACTGGAAACATATTTAGATTAAATTTTTATTTTTGAAACAAATATATTATTATATTTGTTTTGTTGATTGTTCTTTATATAACGTCTATCAAAACTTAAAACAGTTATCTGATACCATTATTTGAGGGCCAAAATTAATCTACCACTGTGCTGGTTAGGTTAGGTTGATTGAATATTTGAGTGCGCTTTCGTTTTCGTATAATTCTGGACTTGCATTGACTTGTCATGCTACATACTTCTTATTTAAACAGATTTGATAATAATAAATACAATTGTCTATAATATCTAAATAGTATTGTAGCAGTATAACAATAGGAGTAAGTCTTTAGTAATAATATTGTTTGCTGCACATTACATTCCTGTAGTATAGGTATGTATAGTATATTATCCGAGGACTCGAAGCTGTGAAAGTTTTAGTTGTATTAAAGTTGGGGGGAGGGGGTTTAAAAATTATGCGTCTGCCCCTTCAGGATGATATTCTCCCGTATGAACTCTATTCGACCCTATTCCCCACTCACCGGAGCGACTGCAGCTGCTGTCGTCACGGTCGTCTCGATATATATTTTTGTCGACGGACGAAATCGTTTTGTCTCGTCGTAAATCATCAATGATAATAATATTAATGTAAATATTGTTATATATTATGCTATCGGTAGGCCGCGCATATATTATTATTATTATTATTATTATTCAACACGAACTGTACAACGAACTTTGATACGGCACACACGACATCTGACATTTCCGCGTATGTGTTCGCAACGCAACAAACCTTTGTACGCGTAATTGCAGAGTGTTTACTGACCGAATAAATACACTGCGCTCAGCACACGCACACGGGGCGACGGCATTAACATTACTATAAACGCAAACGATACGCCTATGTTATAACACAACATGTTAGATACACTCTGGTTCACACGCGATCGCTAATAATAATATATATATATATATATATATGTGGACTGTAGGTGCACACATGATAATATATTCGATTTCGCTCCCGCGGTTATTTGGTCTGAGCGCAGTTCTATATTATTATCATGTGCAAGTATAGGTACGCAATATAATATATATATATATATTATAATAATTAGGGCAGAGGACGCCTGTATGTATAATAGCGCTTGCATATAATATATAGTTATTGTTGTTGTTTCATGCTTCGACAAAGACAAAAGTGTCATTTTCGCTTGGGTATTTCATACTTTTAGACGTATGCATATTTTTCAGGTTTATTTTTACTTTTCGTGGCATGATATTTATGTTTTTATACCATTTGATTATATATTATGTAAAGCCTCCATAGCGGGTACTCTTGACGTATAGTCCGTGTCTTGTGCTTGATTATGTGAAATATGTGGTTCTTTTATCAGATGGTATTCATTGTATTTATTTCTAATTATTTATTGATTAAACAATTGGAAAAGATTGTTGAGTGCATATTTTTGTAATCATATTATATCAATGTTTTTTTTTTTTTATTGCATAAAGGCAAATCAATCGAAATCCGTTACGACACATCGTTGTCCTGCCGCCCAGTAGCCGCCGCACCGGCGATTGTCGAGTATCAATTAATAATTTTAAAGTATAGGTAAACGCTTTTCGATATCAATCGTTTTTTTGCAATAGATTTGAAAGACTGACATCAGATTAATTTTTATCCTTCCTAGTTTCGGTTCGAATAACGTTTTATTCCACACAAAGTAAAATAACTATTATTACAATATCATATAAAACTATGTTTTTTTTCTCTTCGTTTACAATTTTACCCTGTGGAAACGTTATGGTTCACATATACTTTACCAAAATGATTTCATAAAAATGTAAAAATGTGTTAATTATAAACGGTATTCGTTATCATATAGCATTAAATGATTCTGAAATCTGTTATGATGTATTTATATTACACGCAGTGGGAGTTCTTTTGAGGCATTTTGGACATTATTTTAGTAGTAGAAAAGTTATTTAATAAACATGAATAAACGTACCTATATTGAACTTGAAGACGTTTTATATGAACTAATTTTGTTTTTTTGTTTTAATTAAAATAATTTTACAAGTAAACATTTTTTCACATTTTAGATTGTGAATGAGGAGAGAGGTGCAGTATTACAAATTACAATGATGTGTGTTTTTATATATTTTTTTATTGTTTTTCGGTCAAACTTTTGGGGAAGTGAAAAAATCAAAAAGTTTCATGCCATACCTTTGTACGTTGAAAATGTAAAGCATCATATTGAACTTCAAACTTTAAAAAGGTCATTTTCAAATTTCTCAATAGTTGTCGAGAAGATCGTGACAACAGCAATGGAGAAAAAAACTGTAAATAAACGTAAGCAAGCGCCTGTTTTTTAACAACGACTTGGGTAAACAGAACTTCACTCAGAATCGTTTTTAGAGTACAATGATTTACATTTAGCCTGGGGGACCGAACATCTATTCTATATCACCACTTTAAGTCTAAAATCATGTATTCTCGTTTGACGATTCACTGCGAATAATATGCGCGTTTATTCGAAACAAATATTAATTCGCCCACACACAATACAACATGTAAATACGGTACGTTCAGTCACTATTAAAAAGCTATTTTCGTTGGTTCAAAAGTAGGTTTTTAATCTAGGCAGTATGAAGTACAATTTTTTTTAAATGTTTTTTTTTACAAAATTATTCATATTCAAAGTGAACGATTCGTATCCGATTGCGATTCCCTACACTAACTTTTTAATATGAGTTTAGCACTTTAAAAGTTTAAAAAGTTATATATTTCATTGTATTTTATAAGATGTATATAATCAATGAAAACCATACATGCGAGTATTTATTAAATATTAAGTACCTATACCCAAAGCCAATATTTAAGCCTATATCTCATAAAAAACCCGTGTGAACGTATTTAAAAAATCTATAAACTCTCAATAGCCAGAAAATTCTGCGCGAATTCGAAAATAATTTTTTCCTCACTTAAAAGTTTTCGCGGACGCCTTTTAATCAAAAGGTTCAATTATTAAACACCAATTATTATAGCATACTACGACTGTGTTAGAGGAATAAAAAAATCACATAAAATCATATTATATTAAACGCAGCCAGAACAATGAGAATTAATCATTGTTAGTTGTTACAATCTACTGCCGCCAGCATAATAATTGAAATACGAACAATTTCCGGTGGATCTCAAGCATTTTCGCTGTATCTCATTTGTCGTACGGCGATTCAATAATTAGATTTGGGGACCCCCATTGTTAACCAGTGTCGTTTAAATTAAAAACCATTCTTATCAATAAATCGGTTTAGGGATTCGAAATTGTTTTCCCACCGAAAAAAAACTACAAGATTATCCGTACGCCTTCGTCGTCGCCGTCGCCGTTTTTTTTTGCCCCTGTTTATTCGACCTCCGAATGCTAATGACCTCTCACTTCCTCCACTGCCGTCACCGCCACCGCCGCCGCTGCCACCCGGACGGAGATCCGACAGAGAAATCTTGGCCGGGGAGATGGGGAAAAAAAACCTTCCCATCATTATTTAACCCCCGGTTCGGGAGTCGAATTACCTTTGTTGCTTGCCTTTTTATTTTTTTTACCCACCTTCCACTCACCTCTCTTTTTCCCTCATCACCGCCGACTACTTTTTTTCCCCGCCGCTTTGTTACCGGAACCCAGAGTTATCTTGTTCTTTCCACGGCGTGGCGGCCCTTTTAATCTGCAAATTCACTTCTGATAACCAAAGTGTTTCTTTTTAAACTACCTCCGCCTGCGTTCTTCGCGGAATAGCAATGAGAACTGTTCGCAAACGTCGTTATACATACTTATGTATATATATATATTATATATACTATGTATATCGTTTAGTTTTAAACGTTTTAATATAATATATAATATAATATCGTTATCGCACCGCCAAATCTCTGCACCGGAATTAAAATATATAATACAATATATATACCAAGGGCGCTCGCTGAAATACAACACAGGGGAGGGGGAAAGTCAAAAATAAATTTAAATGTTCATACGATGATTAATTCAGGTAAAATGTTAAAATTATTAGTTCTAAATACTGATGCAATAATACAACATAATATCTTACATTCTATAACTTTATACTTTTATATAAAATACGGTTAAATACAATATAAGTATAACAATTAGTACATACAGGGATGGGTTAGAATATAGGGGAATTGGCAACTTTCCAGGTGGGCTGGTCTATGGAACTCGCTTAAATATTATTTTGAAACTAAGTGGCTCATTTAGGTGCTATAATTTTCAATTAAAAAAGTAATTAAAACTCTCTGGCGAATTAGGTGAATGCAATTAGAATAGTTTTTATGATTTTGGTTATGTTCTTCAACAAAAAAAATAATATAGATTCTGATGAAGTTATAGAACAATAAAATTCAATTACTTCACGAATTGATCAACTCTTTGAAATAATTAAATACATTAATTTGTTTGACTTTATGCATTAAATTGCTGCAGTATATAACTAAGAATTTATAAGTATTAAATTAATTTATGACTTAAGACTTGGTACTGAATTTGTTACTTTATTGTTTAAGCCAAAACGGGTGACAAAATAATTGTTGGTAGGTGTGCAAATAATGAAGATGACTATGAGAATTGCTTTTCATTAAAAAAGAAAAAAAGTTTATAATTAGCAGTTATGATTTATATTTCTAGGGTCAAAAAATATCACTAAACTGTATAGCTGAATACACCGACTATCTATAGAAGATACAAATAACAAAATATTGTCAGTTTTAAATCAACAATCAGAAATACATTATCTCGCTAATC